TAAAACTAATCTACAAAGATACTTCCAACTTGAGAGAACAGTAGCTATCCCTTTGACTTGCACTACTGCCTGCCTCCATACAAACCAGCATTTCCAGCTCCCTATCCCTCTGCACACTATGCCTTGTGCTGTATTTATACTACTGAAAACAGAGATTAATTTTTTCACTAAAATCAATTACTAATCCCCTACTTTTGGGAAGGCTGTGAAAGCTGAGGCAAGTAGCATCAGAGCAATGTCGTTGCCCAGCAAACGTGTTAGTTTGTCTGCCCAAACCTGCTGTGTAATGGTTCCTTAATGAGCAAATAAATCATCAGCTGTCAGGCCTAATCCTTTAAAAAAAAAATAATTTAAAGTTTGCAAAGGGGTTGAAATGTATGTCCCTCCCCCACCACCCACCCAAATGTAATATTAGAGCCTAGAAGCAAGTTACTATGCTATTTCTCATTGAAGAAAGTGTGTGCCTGTGCATAAGTTTAAGAAAGGATAAAAATTGGCATTTGCTTTTCTGAGATATGGGGTATTCCTTACTCTGTATACACAATATTATCTTCTTGATATACCATGCTTGTGTAAGATATCCACTACAGAGATCTGAAATGGCCAAGAATTTTAAGAGTTTGTCCCTGTTAATTTTAACTTCTGAGTCTTATAGTCCCAACTGCTTAAAATAAAACCGGAACTGCATACCTTTTAACTCTAAAATAAGCAATACATGAGAAATTTTAGAAATCGTGAAAAAGTTTCATCAGGCAGGTATTGAACTTACTTTGCCAGAAAATATTTACAAAAATAAATATTCACAAAATATTTCCTCATCACCTTTTTTAATATTAGGTACTTCCCAGGTAAAAGTAAGGGCTCTTTACAGTGTAAATATCAGTCCTCAAGACTCTTACATTTTTGCTGGGTTGGAGATCTATACCTTAGACTTCTGCCTCAAGATGTTGAGCTCCACTCTTATATAAAAACATTTTAAATGAATATCTGTGAATAGGCATTAGAGGGGAACATGGATTTCTTTTCTTTTTTTTTTTTCTCCCTTTAAACAACTAGGAGGCCTCATTAAAAGTTTAACATTTAAGTTAATGAACAGTGTAGGAGCCAACTTACTAGAATGTTCTCCCAGAGAGGCCCAAACCTCCTGTGATCCAGCCCAGTAAATGTCCCTCCTTGTTTTGTTCTTTCAACTCATACTACTCAAACTGAATCTTTTCCAATTAGCATTGCCTGTCCAGATAAAAATCTATGGTATCTACTCCATTGCTTGGGCAGTTAGACTGGTGGGTTATGCTTACAGGCCTGCTTGGTGATTTATAGGTTTCTCTGAGGGGGGAAATTTCTGCTCAGTGAGCTGAGGTTTGAATTTACAGTACTGATAGTTTATTCCACTTCCGTTTTTAAATAAAGTTGTGAACAAGCTCATTTGAAAGTGGACTTACAGTATTTGAAGTAGGCTACCTGGCAAATTACTCAGCTGTAAATTCTAGCTTCATTTTGTAAAGGGTTGTTGGTTGGGGTTTTTTGATAGACAAATTTTTCTTTTTATTGAAATTTATTAATTGTTATTTATGGAATGTTTATACTTTTATTCTATTAAGTTAACCCAGTTACTGTTGCTACTGTTATTAAGTTACATTAAAAAAGAGACAATTAAAAAAAAATTACTATGGAAGTGCTATAGGGCAAAGGTGAAGTACAGAAGTAAGGCCTACAGTATGACTCAGGCTAGCATTTTACCTGGGTTCTGTTCTAAATATGATGACTATCTGCCTTAAGCACAAATGATGTTGCTTGCTCTTATGAGGTACACATCCTTTAATTGTCTGACTTTTCAGCATTCTGCATATACTGCAACATTATAGATGTGTGTCTTTCTCATCAGCATGGTGGATATTGGGCGAAAAAACATCTGATTAAATGGAACAAGAAAATGGCTTACACAGTTGATGGAAACCCAGGAAAAGGCTGAGAGACAAGTAACTCAGAGTGCAAAACAAGTCTTATGGACCAGGCTGGATAGGAGCTGCCTTGAAGGAGTTTTTGCTTTCTTTTATGAAAGCTGGTGGTTTTGTAGTGTCAGAAACCACCTATAGTTATTTAATGCTACTAATTTCCTTCAGCTTCTAGAAAGACAGAGCTTCTCATTTAGGATTTCATTTGAAGCATTTCTTTGTCCTAATTCATCTGTAAATAGGGTGTTGTAATAGTTGCTTATGCCGAACAGAGTAGCTGTCAGTGCTTTCAGGTTCTTTAATGAAAGGCACACTCATTGCAAATTGATTTATGAATTTTAAGAAACTTCTGGGTGTGCTCTGAAACAGAGTTCATGTTAGTCTGCCAGCCTATTGCCCTTTTAATATGAAGTTTCTAAATGTCAGATGTGTATTCCTAACAAACATGCTTATTTTAGAGTTAACTTATGACATCCGTTTTTTAATTCACTATCTCCTTGTTAGACATGAATATTCCTTGTGAGGAATGGGAGTCTGCTCACACTCTTGTGAGGAGATAGGAATGCCATTTAATGACTTCAAATAAGCCCAGTTTTACAGGTAACTTTTTACTCCATCACTCATTACTATTGCTACAAAATTGCAGGCTTTTTTAATAAGGTGAACTCCAGGTCCAGCAATCAAAGGAATACAATTATATGACCAAGTGCAAAAAGTGAACTTGGGCTGCCTACTGGCACATGCTTGAGTAGTCAGGTTTTTTTAAGTACTGTAGTTACACCAGCTTTTCACTAGATGGCACTTTCACCAAGACACTTCGATTCACATATTTTCTGATTTGTTCCTTTATCCCTTGTTGAGCTTCATTTTGTGTTCCTTTTTCTTGAAAGGATTCTTTGAATGCTTGATTACTGCGCCTTCTCTATTGCTCCCCAAAATATTAGTGATACTGCAGAACTGCCTCTATGCTGTTCACAGATGTTTTGTGATTGTGATGCCCTGTTCTTCAGTCCTTGCCGTTTCCTACTGCTATAAGGGTAATTGAAAGCTATGAAAATTTCAGAACCTTAGCAAGCTCATCTTATGTCAGTCTATTGTAATACAAGTAATATTTAAAAAACTAAACCAAAACAAAACAAAAAAACAACAAACAAAACTGTTGTAATAAGTAAATGTAGTCTGTAATATTGTAAGTACCAATTACTCCAGGAATTAAAAAGTCCTCTCTAAACTATTATCCAGCAGATATTTCTGCAATAAGGGCCAAAGTCAAAGTCTTTAAAGAAGCTTAATAACCTAAATGGCTTAAATTCTGGAAGCGTTTAAACCCTCATAAATGTGCTATCCTGCAGAAATTTGAGGCCTGCATCAGGGGTATCAGCTTCTTTTTACATTTAGGGAATGCTGGATGTGTAAGTTACTGTAGTAATGTGGAAAGGACAGCCTGGTTGAATGATGAGTGAAGTGTTAGGGAAAAAGGTTGAGGCAGAAGGGAAAAGCACCTCCAGCAGGGACCAAGGGACTATTAACCTTAGCTTGGCACACCTTGCTGTCAGGCAGGGTGGGGAACTGTTTCAACGCAGGAAGAGACTACAGGGAAGCAACCTCTGTTGGAGGTCAGCAATCTGGATGCATCAGTTGTTCAGTCATGCTGTAAGCTGAGAGGTAGAACCTTTGTTTGAACCATTATCTGTTTCCTGTTTGCGCTCAAGTCTCTTGTGCCTCCTTCTTTAGAGTGGGGACCCTGCTGAATGGACTACTGGAGTCCGACTCATATGATGCAGGGCATGGAAGGCAAGAGAGGTAAGAACAGAGTAAGTGCACCTAAAGAGTTAGTGTGCTATGATTTTTCTACCTTGTTCAAGAGTCTGACTTTAGGCACTTGGGACTTGGGCTTGAATGAGGACCAACCAGTCTGATAGCTGTGAGCTGGCAACAACAATTGTATGCCTTTGGAAACACTGAAAGGCAGGAACTTGGGTATATGAGAGGTTTTGCTTTGGGGCTGGGTATCTGTATAGTGATCCTGCAGAGACAGATAGGCACCAAAGCAGCTTCAAGGACCTAAGCAAGCATGCTTACTAAAGTTAGTGACTCATATCCATACAGAAAGTGTTCCACTCCTGAATCAGGCCTTTATTATTTTAAAGTCTTAATTAAGTCTCTTTGAACCCACAGGTGCAGCTACTCACTGATGCTTATTTGTTTTCTTTTATTTGTCACAGCCTTTCATTTACCAAAGTATTTCAGTCAGATTGAACTAGAAATATTTCAGGGGATTTTAATCTATCCTTGGAAACTGTGAGCAATTTGGGTACTTTCCTGTGCTATTCTCTGGATATTAGTATGGGCATACATTTGCAGGCAGATCTTCAATGGGTGACTGGACCACTACCATTCTTATTTTACAGGTTTATTTAAGGTTCATTATGTGTTTATGGCTTCTAAGTTATTTCCTATGGAATAGTATTGGTTTTCTTTTTTTCAATGAGCTGAAGTTTAATAGTCAAATGATAAATATTAAGGAAAATAAAATTTTCAGATATATGAGAAATTAATGAAATATTTAAGATTAGCATATTTTTCATGTCTGCCTACTGAATAGGCACCAGATATTGACAAATTTCAGAAATGAGCACATTGAATATTGTGTTCACTTTCTATGCATCAGTCATACAAATATTTTAACCACTCTCTTCCAAACCCACTGCTGTGCTGATTTTTTTCTTTGCTCTAATTTCCATGAAGTTATTTCACAATACCTGAGCTGTTAAGTTATGCCTACTAAGTTATTTCACTGTTAGTTAAGCTCTTTCATTTTATGATTTCTTAAAGCACTGTCTAGAATCCAGGTAGTTATGCAAATTGCTGAACGTCAGTCATTGTGTTCCTTCTATATCAATGAATGTTGGTTTTTTTAATTTATTTTTGGGAGGTTGTTATTAGTTGTTTTATTTTTGTTGTTTGTTGTCATTGATTTTTTTATGTTATTTTCGGGGAAGGGGATTGGTGGGTTTTAATACGAAGTAGAATAACTTCGAGGCATTCAAAGGATATCTCATGGAAAAGTTGGCATAGAGGCATAAGAAAGATAGGAGGTAGCATAAAAAATATTCATTTTGGTTTTGTGAGAGGAAATTTCAGTCTTTCCTGTTTGCTGGCTAATGTACTTATCTGGGTGTGCAGAGAGAACATTTTTGTAGTTCTTTTATTAAATATTCCTGGAACCTAACTAAAATAATACATTTTTGTGCATACTTAAATGTTTTCTGTTCACAGATATGATTGGAAAAGTCTTGTGGTTTTCATGATTTCAGGAGAAGGGAGATAGAGTGAGCTAAGAAGCTACAAAATTGTTTGTGTGCTAGAATATAAACATACACAAAGTATAAATAAATTCTGCCATGTTTAGATTAAATTTTACTGTCAACTTCAAAACCATGTCATGCATGTCTTCTGTTTATTTTACAGTATAGCTAGAAAAAAATGTAGCTGTTTCACTTTACTCTGACCTCCCCTCGGAGGGAGTGCTATGCAGACTTTCTGAAAGCTGGGATTCCTGCTTACAATACAAATGTCAACTGGAGATCATATTCAGGGAGTCTAAATCCAGCTTAAGTCTGGCGTTCTTTATTGTTTCCATATAGGTGACTGAAGATGTCTAGCCAGAAGGGAACAGTAGGTGCTGGGATTTATGGGAAATTTAAATGGTAAAAAATGGCTTGCACTGAAATGTGTTTTGATTCATCCTGGTCTTAAAATATTTTTGAGACATGGTAAGTTGTGGGACGTTGAAAGTACTATGTTATACGTGAGGTACCAAGATCTCTCCCTCCCTTCAGCCTCAGGACTCTCCCTAATAATGCTGGAAGTTAAAATGAATCATTTATGAGCATCAGTAGACACATGGGTGGTGCCTCTTTGTAAACTGGTATTTTGTTGATGCAATATGTGTGACAGCCTTTTAGTTCTGAATATAAATGTTACCGAGGGGAAATTAGGTTGGTTCACAGAGGAGATCAGCCAGACCTTGCAGTACATCTTGCTGAGGAGCAGGTATCTCCACCAGTACTGTTCTTCAGAAACTAGTACATGTAGAAGAAAAATGGAAGGTGAGTGTCTTGAAACTTTACTATCACTTGACTCAGTACTGAAAGTGGAAATACTTAGGTCAGATGTAAGGACAAAAAAAAAAAAAAGAAAAAGAAAAGGGCATTTTGCTGTGTGGAATCAAGTCTAGAAATTACTTCTCTACGGTTTAGATTTTGTTTGTGGACTTAGTGAGAAAGAAAAGAAAAAACAGCTTTGGAAGAAATGCTTTCCTTTTGTAATGGAAAATGAGAGCTGTTTAAAAGAATTGGTGAAACAACAACAAATTGAGAGCTATAACATGGAAAAGAATATATTTTATTTCCAGCATAAATGATAAAGTACTAGTTTTCAGTATTCTCATGCTAGAAGCTATTATTTCACAATGGATACCTGAAGTATTCTTTCTGGACTGAAGGCAAAATGTGAATTAATAGAGAAAAACCAATGACTGGTATTGAGGGTAGGGTTTCTACCAGAGAGAGAAAGCCAGTAAAAGATATGAAATTGATTAGCCTTTAGTATTTTCTCCAAGATGCCTTTGCTTAAGAAGGCAATTGTTAGCGCCTTTGTGATCCAATTGTGATAATTAACTCTGATAAGCAAACCGTGGGCTGACTTTAAAGAAATTCTCTGGGAAACATGTAATATATCAACTCCCTGATGTTCTGGTTCAGCTGGATTAATGAGTGGATGAGGTGTAGTTGTCTTGGTTTTTAAACGCCTCCAGAGAATGGGTGAGGGCATGCCAGGTTCTTTCAGTGTTCTTGACCACAGGAATTCATCATGTGTGCTATAACCACTTCTAATCCTTTCTGTTGAACCAGAACATTTTGTGTTATGGTTGAAAAAAATCTCATTAAGGTATGAGATTTTCAGTTCAGCTCTCTTACTCTTTCTTATCAGCAGGTATGATGCATTCATGAATAATAATGATGTAATGCATTGCTATATTTTTGGTTGTTGTTGATGGTGTGCATGTTTTAACATGGGTAACGCCCAGAACTGCATTTATCTGCTGATCTTTGCTGAAGAGCTGAATGATCAATTTGATTAAATGATGAGATGAAAACTGAGATTAGTTTTGTTCAAGGAAAGAAACCAGAAAAAGTTGGGGGGGTTGTGGTTGTTTTTTGCTGGGTTTTATTTGTTTTCTTGGTTGGTTTTGTTGTTGGTTGGTTTCTTTTCTCTTACCCGTCCTCCCCTCCCAGTTCAATTATGTTTTACTTCAGGAAGTGATCCTGGGAAACACTACTGGGTTGCCTTGGAAGTGTCCTGGTCCCATGGGCTTAGCTATGGCTTTCCTTTTATGTGGATACACCCTTGTTTCTGGTTAGGAAAAATTAGTTTCTACTAAATACCAACTCTATATTCAACTTAGTGCCAGTATAGTTAGAGAAGTTGCATTGCTTGATTTCTCTGTAGTCTTAGCAAGACCAAACTTAACCCTTTAGAATTAAAATAGTATACAAGACTTTGTAGTCCATTAAGGCAAATTTCCAGAACTCCTGAGAATCTGTGGCTCCCATTATCTTCAATAAGAGTGAAGCACTTTCGAAAGTAAAACATTGGATTCAAATAGGTAAAAATGAGTGTTGCCACCCATCCTTCTGGCACCAGGATCATAATTACCCTTATGAAATGACTGATACCCAGACAGGATGCCTAAGGGCAATCAGCTAAAATTTTTGTTAAGCTAATCGTAGCACTTGGGATGGATTGTCAACATTTTTTTTTTTTTTTTTTTTTTAGTATTTCTGTCTCCATTAAATTCCTCAAAGATGTCTGCAAACCTTTTATGACTTAAGCACATGCAGATTGAGAGATTTCATGCATATTTAACAGTACTTACAGTTTGGGGGGAGATATATATTTGTATTTTTTAATAACTCATTTAAGCTTTCAAACACCTGTTTTTTTAATAAAATCTTTCCTTCAATTTACTTTATTATTTTATTACTTGTATAAAAAACTCAACTGATAGTATGTGCAAAACATCTGCTGTCTAGCTGTGGTTGAAAAGCAACTGTAGACAGTGTGCTTTAATGTGGAAAGAACATTACAGTGCAAAATCAATTTTTCAAGTAGAGATACTAATATCATCCCTCAGCATCAGGTATTTATTAAGCAAGAAGGTACTATACAAAAGATGTGAAACTTGTGGCACAGCTTTATAAAGCATTATAACAAGTTTCCACCTGCAAGCTAGGGATGTGGTGAACTTGTAAGGATAATTTTATGGAGGTATGCATCAATCTCAGTGTTGCTGAATTTTGAACAAACTCCTGAATTCATTTTTTGAAACAGTTATCTCTGTCTTTCATCTTTATCTGCTCTTTCATGTAATCTTGACCTCAGTCAATGATGGGAACTGAACTATCTGGTTTTTCCTTTGTGTTCCTTTCTCCGTCCTGCAGTCATCGAGCTGGGAGAAGTTGACCTGAACTGTCCTTCAAACTGCCAAATTCATAATACACAATTCTTTGGAACTGACAGACAGATAGTAAGGAGAGGGCAAGCCTTCAACTTTTATGCTCGCTTTCAAAACCGGGAATGGGATGACTCTGTGGACAAAGCCATTTTCACCGTGGAGACAGGTAGTTACTCCCAAACTCAGTTTTAGTCTTTCCCAGTCCTTTTCTGTTATGTAATATTCTCAGTAGTCTTCAGTGACAAATAGTATCTGCTCACACATCTTCTGTGAAAACTGACTACCTTCCCCTAGCTCAGGCAGTTCTGCTAACTTTTAAAATTTTCTCACTCTGCTGCAGAGGTGACAAGTGAAAAAGAAATCCACCCTTTGCTTTGTATTGCAAATGATGCCTAAACAAATTACTTGCTTTTTACATGTGCTTTGTTTAATCTGATGAAAGTTGTATTTATTTCCCTGAGAAGGCCTCAGACCCTGCGAATCAAATGAGACAAAATGTAGCTTCCCAATGGGCAGATGCCTAGATCAAACCTGCTGGAGCTCTTCCTACAAATTTTATCAGCCAAAATGCATCAATATCAGCGTGTTTCCTCCTTCCAATGCCTGCATTGGCCGTTACATTCTCAATATGCAAATCACATCTTGTGGTCATACATATCAGCGATGTCTTGGAGATTTTTATGTCCTTTTTAACCCTTGGTGTGCAGGTAAGAGCTGTAGTAAATGATCAGATTATTTTAAGAAAAATTCTAGTGATTAGTAAAAATGTTGAACATATGTATTACTTAGATCATAAGTAAGGGATGGAGTCACAGATACAGGGATGGATTGTTTTTGTTTTCTTGTTTGTGTTTTGGGTTGTTTTATTTTTTTCTCTCCGAGTTCAAGACTGTCTCAAGCCAATGTTTTGATTTGTTTTGTTCATGGTAGTAGGGATGTAATATATTCCCCTCCCTCCCTTTTTACAGTGGCTTGACAGGGCAAGAAGCAATTAGCACAAACACTTTTTTAAGGTGAGGGTGACTGAGCACTGGCACAGGTTGCCCAGAGAGGTTGTGAAGTCTCCAACCTTGGAGATGCTTTACAGCCACATGGACATGATCTTGGATAACCAGCACAGCGTGAACCTGCTTGAGCAGGGAGCTGGACCAGATGACCTCCAGAAGTCTCTTCCCACCTCAAACATATTGTAATTCTGTGAATTCTGTGATATCATTATAGAATCATAGAATAGTTAGGGTTGGAAAGGGCCTTAATATCATCTAGTTCCAATATAGTATACAAATACAAAATAAATTCCATAGATCTGTTTCTGATAGCAAGCAGATCTGGAGTCTGTAGGACCTTGCCAAAATCATTACACATTTACATTGCCTGTGCTTTTGATTTGATAAAAATCAGATACTGAACTCTAAGTGCCCAGTGACTGGCTTCTAGAGCGGCTCAGTGTGAAGATAAATTGCAAGTTCTGTAATTCAGCATACTATAGCAGGGAGAGGCCTAATAAAGATAATACCTAGCTGTAAGTAGAACTGAATTGTCTCTGAATGTTTAAAGAGCCCTTAACATGTTTAAAGAGCCCTTGAACATGTTTAAATATATAAATAAAAATAAGTAGGAAAAGAAAGAGGGATGCAGTCAAGTAGAAGATACAGAAGTGCTAGAAATGTACATTTGGCTGACTGATAGCTCTGTATGTTTTCCAGATGACCCTGTATATATGGACAATCAGGCCCATAGAGAAGAGTATGTTCTGAATGAACATGGTATACTGTATGAAGGAGTTCACAAGCATATTACCTCTCGACCATGGCACTTTGGACAGGTATGTTTTAAAGGTTTCTTCAGAAGTAGATGTCATCCATATATGGATAAGTGAAGTGTTATCCATACCTTTTAAGCAAGTTATATTATGTGGTGTGAAAAGTTCTAAGGACCAGTCCAGATTATGCATGCACAAAACAAAACGTCTGAGAATTTCACTGTAGACCAAACAAATGGAAGGAATTTTTCTGTAGTAAAACTAAGGAAACTGCAGAACCATTGATGCCTGTTTTAATTTCTCTTTCATCAGTTTGAAGATGGAATTCTGGATATCTGCTTGAAGATCCTAGACATTGGTGCAAGTTATCATCATGGCTCTGATCGTGACCGCTGTTGGCGCAATGACCCTGTGCATGTCAGCATGGTGGTAAATCACATGGTAAGACCTCTAGTGGTGTGTGACCTCTAAACAGGTCAGAACACACTCCATTACATTATAGAAGGACATGTTGAATTGTAATCTAACATAGTATGAGTAACAGGGGAAATTGTTTCTGTGCTCAGATTCACTGGAAAAGCTAACTTGTGACACTAATATCTAATGATTTTATGATATACTTAGGTTTAAAGACATGGTCAGCTATTTGAGAAAGTGATTTTTATTTTCTCTTTCTAGATAAGCAGCCATATCACAAGCAGTATAATGAAGATTCCAGAAAACAATGATTACCTGAAGGGAACAAAACCATTTTCCTGGAATGGAAGTGTCCCTATTCTTCAGCAGTGGTACAATGGCAGATGCAGGCCAGTCAGATATGGCTACTGTGGGTCTCTTGCTTCAGTAATGTGCACAGGTATGATATTTCAGTCTACCCTTACCCAGCTATCCAAAAAGGAAGAGAGAAAACCAGGATCAGAAATCTCTGACCCTAAAAATTAGTGGAAGGATATTAAGCATTTTATAAAAAAAAAAAAAAGTATTTTTCTCTTTTTATAATATGGTATGGCTCCTAGCATAGTGTTTGTTATCAACCTATTGCTTTCCTATATAGCATGAAGAGCAAGAAGAAAAGCAGTGCTGTCTTTTCTGTGATCTTTACACCATGCAGCTATCAAATCTACAACTTTATTATAAACATAGAGCAAACTGTAGCATTACGGAGACAAAATATCCTTTGGGTGAAGTTTGAAGGCTGAGAGAAACACTGAACAGGAAAACTTGCAGCAGTGTCCCCTCCGAAACATGAATGCAGCATACTATGTTATTTTACTGCAAAGAATAAGATAATAGCGAACTATACAGACAAAATAATTAAGCTTGAATTTTTACCATTTATTTACTGAGCCTGCTTCTACACATGAAATTGAATTGAATTGATATTGAATTGCAATTGAATTGATATTGCAAAGATGAATCTATGTGTACTACACTGTTTCAAACAAAATGACTGTGCTTTATTAATGCTGGATCAGGTTCATTATTCTGGATTAGGAATTTGGGGATATTTCTAGTATAAACTGGAAGAATACCAAGCCATTTCTCTCTGCTAGGCTCTTTTCAGACTACTTTCAACCACATAAAAGAAGTTTTGAAGACAGAATTAGGACATCCCAAATATTACTTTCTATCCATTGTATTTATATAATTGCAAAGTAGAATATGGGAGACTTATTTATAAAACAAGAAAAGGATTTGCTTGTTTAATTACCATTTGTAATGACTCATTAATATTTATTTTTTTTTCCCTACAGTGATGCGCTGTTTGGGAGTTCCAAGCCGTGTTGTCACAAGCTTCTGTTTTCCAAGCTCAAATGAGAATCCACTTGGTATCAATGAGATTTTTGACTGTACTGGAAAAAACCTATGTGGTAAAGACAAGCTATGGTAAATGAGAAATACACAAGTTATTGTGTTATTGATTTTGGTTTTGTTTTGTTTTTTGATTAAATGATGGAAAGACTAGTGTAAATCTAGCAGATCAGCGTATATCTTTCTTTGTCGTGACAAAGCAGTTTAGTTTCCTAAAACCACATTTCAAAACATGTAGTTACTGAACAGGCAGTCTGCTCAATCTACATTTTCAGAAAAGGAAAACCACCTGTGAGAAGTTATGCTACCTACTTACCTTTCTCAGTTAAAAGAATAAGGCCATCTTGTTTGATAATTATGTTGTCTTCCTGAATTTTTTTTATCATAGATTGCTTTATTGTAAACCTTTCAATTCATTTTCATACAACTATGACATTATCAGTTATCACAGCAGAATTTCATGTTGTCACCCTTGGCCTGTGTGTTCGTAGTTTCACTGCAACAGAATTTCGGTTTTGTCTCATCTGTGAGAGCTATTAATGCATTTTCTGCCCTTTCATGTGTTAAAAAAAGTGTCAAACTGAAATATAAGGGACGGAGTATCTTATTTTAGCACAAATTGCTAAAGAGTTTATTCTTTGTTAAGCCATTAAAAAAGAAGACTAAGACAATATGTGATTTTCCTGTGAAGGAAACAGGAGGAAGACATTAGGAAAATAAACTACTTAAAAGAAAGAACTATGCTGACACATTATCAACTGAAAAAAAAAAAAAGGCTGTAATAAGAGTGTTTTGCAATCAGGTCTGCAGGACAAATTTCCAGTCTGAGTGATATAAAGTAAACCTAACAACTCCTGTCCCCAAACATCATTAAAAGTTTTAAGACATAGAGAGTCTTCAGTTGATTAAAATGTTATCTCTGACATGGTTTTCCTCCATTGTAAGGCATTGAACTTGGTGATCCAAGAGATGTCTTTAATCCTATATACCTGCACCCTACAGGCGATATCACTGCTGGAATGAATCTTGGATGGCTCGCAGAGACCTAAAACAATGCTGTGGTGATTGGCAGTGCTTGGATCCGACACCTTTGGAAACAGGAAGAGGTAACTGTTTACTATAACTGTAATTGTTTTCTTCTCATGTTGTTGAGTTTTCCTACTACTCAGGTTACAACCTACTATAATGTTGCTATCTGGCTTAGGTACAGCTTGTAGCGGTCCTACCTGGGTTCGAAGCATCAGAGAAGGGGAGCTGGACTTGGACTATGATGGTCATCATCTGTTTTCTCGAGTAAATTCAAACTATGCTGGCTGGCTTTCCCAAAACAATGCCAAAAGAACAAAGTTTTTCTGCGATCCTTGGCCCTGTGGACAACGTCTAATCACCAAGCGTGTTGGCAGTGAGCAATTTGAAGATATCACTGGGGCTTACAAGTATGAACTAGGTATGATGAAAAGCCATCAAATAAGTTAGAGGAAATTTTCAGTGCTAATCATATAAAATTATTAGTGTAATCTGTCCTTTGTTAAAATTAATAGAACAATCTGAAGTTGGTATTTTTTGAGAAAGAAGAAGGTGCGTTTCTGTTCAAAGACCTTGATTCTTAAACTTCTAAACACATTTAGATGACTAAAATGAAACAGATAGCAATTGCATTAATATAGGATAGGATGTTTCAGTTGGAAGGGACCTACAGTTATCCTCTAGTGTAACTGCCTGTAGCACCCTTCTGCCTCAAAGATGTATTTAACTGAAAGTTACAGCATTATTATTAACTCATTGTTCAAATACCTCATTCTAAGGCATTCACAGACTTGGGATATCAAACACCTCTCTTGGAAGCTGTTCCAGCAGTTGACCACCCTCTTGGTAAAGAAACGCTTCTTCATGTCAAGTCTGAATATCGCCTGATGCAGCTTTGACCCATTCCCCCACATCCTGTCAGTAGGTCCCAGGGAGAAGAGCTCAGCACCTGTCTCCACTTCTCCTTGGGAAGTTGTAGAGAGCAATGAGGTTGCCCCTCAGCCTCCTTTTCCCCAAATTACATAAGCCCAGAATCCTTAACAACTCCTCACAGGACATGCCTTCCAGCTGTTTTAATACCACTATTTGTATGTACCTGTTTTGGTGTCACCGGTACAGCAGTTTAAAATATTAGCAAACTTTAGATAATCTAAAGAAAAACCACCCTAAATTCTTTTAAGCCCAGGATTAACTTCTTTCTCGTTACTTTGTGTACCAGATCTGTCAGAAAATATGCCTGCTTACTGAATTCATGTATTATTAGGATATTCTGCTGTTCTGGTGGATTTGTTCTACACCAAGACACTACACTAGGTTTCAGGAAGAAGGAAGAAGAAATTTAATTATATCTTTATTATGTGGGTAGATGTGTCTTCTTGTGCCTCTATTGGATTCCTTATCATGTATCTTCTTCAACAGGTTCTGTGAAAAACAAAGAAGCCTATTACCGGGCTTACAGAAGAATTTATCCAGGGTACTGCAATGCTTCCAACTGTCATATTGATAGAGAGTTATCGTCTCTGAAAAACCCATTTTTGAGTGACTCTGGTATTAACATGAGGTTAAAGATGGCTAATTGCCCAATGTACGGTGAAGATGTCCAACTGCACTGGCTGCTTGAAAATTTGCGTAATGAAAACAAAACCCTGAAGTTTAATTTGTGTGCACAAATAATAACCTATAGCGGCTGCCCATTGGATCAATTTTGGAAAGACAGTGTGACTATCCCCTTGGGTCCAAGGGAAGGTAAGAAGGTGAATTTGTCTAACACCTCTTTGTCTACTGCTCTTTTCAGGAGATAGTTTGGTTTTTAGGACTAGTGAAGACTTAGTAATAGAGGTGGGAACTGAAATGAGTACAATGTTAAATATTGACAGCTGAATTCACTTTAGGGTGATGATGCAAAAATCAACACAGTGTCAATACTACATGTATAGTGACAGGTAAGTTGTATCTTTAATTTCCCCAAGACTTAGAGGTTCTTAGGATCATTTAAAAACTCATTTCCACTAAAAGTTAGAGTTCTGGTTTCTGTATTCAAAAAAAAAGATAAAGCTGAAGCTGTTTATTAGAAAAGCATTTTTTCCTCCTTTGTCCAGAAGTTACTAACCAATGTAAAACACTTGTTTTGAGCACTAAAATAATACTTTCTAGATATACTGTATACTGGGGAGTGTCAGAACATGAACACTCGTTTACAGGGTTAATATCTTTTTCTGCAAGATAAATGTTGCCTTTAATTAAAACATACCATTATAAGATTAAATTTCATACCTCATATTAACATTCTGTTTTATCACACTTTAATTTTCCTGCTTTTTAGCTTATTGCTTTACAAATTACACTGGAATGAAATTTTCCAAATTTGTGTAATAATAATGATAATGATGGTGATGATAAGGCTTATAATAAATCAACTCGTAAATGCACTGATAGCTATATTAACTGAAAACTATAAATCTGGTTGTTGCAAGTAACAGTGTATCTAACTAGGTAAGCTAGGAAAAATCATGTCTGTTTTTAAAAATGCTGTGATAAATTAATATTTTAGCCATTGTAAATGCCAGTTAGACTTTAAGAGAAAGTGGAAATATTAGCCAAAAATCAGAAAAAATAATTAAGATATTTTTATTTACAGTGAAAACAATTCCAGTATGTATATCATATAATCAGTATGGACCTTATCTCTGTGATCACAACATTATTAAAGTAGTTGCTGTCTCAGACCCAGAGTGTGGAGAAGTTCTGATGGTGAGCAGGGATATCGTGATCAACAGACCACCTGTTATTGTAAAGGTAAAGAATTTTAGTTATGGGATTGATGATCTAAGGAACAGAGGGACTCTTCCTGGCCACTTTCTAGGTATAATGCCAATAAACTTGAAATACTTCCTTGGTTTTTTTTTTTTTTCTTTCTTATCTTGGCAAGATCAGTGTGAATTTAAATGTGTAACGTTTGACTCTAGAGTGATGTGTTTATTTTCTGACTAGCTACTGAACCAGCCAAGGCTGAAAGTACCATGTACTGCAGAGATCTCCTTCTGCAATCCTCTCCAGGAAGATATGAAGAACTGTGTAATGACGTTAGAAGGCTGTGGGTTATTCAAAGAGCCAATGACCATTGAGTAAGATCATTGATTATTTAAATGGGGAAAATATTGGGCGTTGACTAAGGTGTGCTAGATCAGAGCAGGTTTTGAGGAAGTCTAATATTTTTGGTGTTTAAGACCTGAACAGGGCGTTTTGGCTCTCACTGCTTTGAGACTCCATTAAAAGCCTTAGTCCTCTTGAAACTGATGGATCATTTAGAGCTGGCAAGATATGCTGCTGCTTCATTTATTCTCAAGGTTTGCATAAACTGTGTGTTTGAAATTTCTCTCTGAAAGGAAACACACTGTTTTCTTCACAAGAAATTCTAGCTGTATTCTCCATCCCTTATAATCTTATTGAGTTTTTCATAGAATTTCTCTAGTTATTCATGAACTCACATCACACACATGATCAACTAGAAAACAGCAATGAGAAACAGCAATATATGCATTCTGTTCTCATAACATGTTAATCACAGAAAGTGGAGATATCCAGGATGCTATAACATCCTAGGAAAAATAGTTGTTCATTAATATGCATTGATGTTCTTCATGACAAGGAGAACTGACAAAAGTATGACTAGTTTTGAGGGGAAGCAATTAGGAATTGTTCTTGTTGAATAGTAATGAACTCGATTCCACAAAGCTATCTGATCCAAATTAGGCTACTGGAAATGGAAAGCAGGAAGTACATTTTTTGAAGCAGAAGGGTGCTACATTTTTTGCAGAATTCCAGACAGTATCATGAATAAGCTTCCAGTTCCAACTGCAGAACCAACTATGGGAATTTTCCAAATCTTCTCTTGGAACAGAAGTTGTTCCTATCCTTTTCATATAGTGGGTTTGGTTATTTTTTGGAGGAAGGCAAGAAAGACAAAGTTGTTATAACAGTGTGTCTCTGAAAACATATTGTATCAAATCAAGCCTAATTACATGCTCTCACATTGTAGTTTTTCATGTCTCTGAGCTGGCCAGGGTCCTAATTCTTTTCCTTATCTCAATACAGTTTGGGAACACTGGCATCCAACCAGCAGGCACGAACCATTGTGGAGTTCACACCTTACAGGCTTGGCAGTCACCGGCTCCTGGCTAATCTTGGATGCCACAAGTTTGCCTATTGCAAGGGATGCACCAAGGCCGAAGTGTGTTGCCTCACAGGCCAGAACGGTACCCTGCCTGCTGCTCAGAATGGTGCCCTGCCTGTCAGCCAGAACGGGTCACACCCGGTGTGTGAGAATGGCGCCGTCCACGTGAATGGCTCTGGGCCTGTCCCAGTGGCAGACCCTGCGTTCAACTCCATGTGTGAATATGTATGTATCCCAATGTGCAACCCAAATTGCAGTGCAGGGGGTCAGCCTGTGTATGACTTTGTGTACCTCCCTGCGGGCCATCCGTTATGCAACTCCATCTGCAACCAAGGCTTCAATCCAAATGTTAATTCTGGTTTTGATGTGGGAGGCGATCCTGGCTTCCGCGTCGTATGTGAGACTGTGCCTTCTGCTACATGTGCCACGATGCCTCCATCCATGTATGGCTCTATGCCTGCTCCAACCTCCAACCCTGTGTGCCCCCCTATGCCCCAAGTGGTGTTTGAGACAGGTACTACTCCCGTGCACCAGCCTGGAGGCAGTGGGGGGCCGGTGTCCTACTCAGTTGCTGTCCCCGCAGAGAATGCTGTGAGTGCCCTGCTAACTCACTTCATGGCTGGCTCTGGCCCCACCGTGGCAACCCAGGCAGTCCCTACCCATATATCTGCTCCACCATCCCACCCAATGTACTCTCCAGTAGCTCACACTGTCACCATGCCACCAACAGCTGGTGCCTCTGTCTCACATGTTGTCTGTGGCTCTGCACCCTCTCCCACAGCCCAGCCTCCATGTGGCCCAATGCCCACCCTGACCTCCCAACCCCTGAGCACCCCGGTAGGCCATGGCGTGTGCTCCCCAGCCTCCTGCTCAGTGGCTTCCCCTGCACCCCACTCTGCTGCTCGTAGTGCCACTCCAGCAGGGCTGCAGATGGGGAGCGCTCCCCCAGCACGCACGCTGTGCTCCCCAGCCCCGCGCCCCGTGGGACCCCCGGCAGCCCACTCAGTGTACTCTCCATCCCCACGCCCAGTGGGAGCCCCTGCAGCCCACTCCCTGTGCTCAGCCACCTCTGTGTCTCTGGGGGCCACGGGTGCCCGCACCACTGGCTCACCCCCCACTCACCCTGAGGACTCACCCAGAGCCTGCTCCCCAGCCCCAGACCCCCTGGCAGCTGCCTCAGCCCGCTCCCTCTATGCACCCACCTCTTACTCAGCCTCCCGGGCTGTGGGCACCCTGGGGTCTCGCTCAGTATGCAGCCCTCAGTGGGGCCCCTCCTGTGACACCACCACTCGCTTGGGCTCCAACCTCACATGGGCTCCCGCCTCCCGCTCAGCATGGAGCTCTGTGGGACGCTCAGGCTACTCTCCTTTGTCCCGCACTGCCTACAGCACGCTCACACGCCCTTTGTACAGCTCCTTGTCCCGCTCCTACAACACTTTGTCCCGCTCTGCCTACACCACTCTTCCCCACTCCACCTCACCCTCTGCCTATGCCACCCTGCCTCGTTCTGGGTCTTGCCCCCCTAGCAGCACCTTACCCCAGGTAGGGTCCCGCACGCCCTGGAGCCCCAGGAGGAGCACTTATAACTACTTCAAACGTAAATACCTGTAATGGAGAGTAACTTGGAGAAAAGTCAAAGCCAGTGAATTAAAGGCAGGGTGCAGACGCTTTGAAAGAGTTTAAAAATAAGGTGATGGGGCACGGCATGTGTAGTCCTGGGTATTTAGCCACACATTTGAGATGTGCCAAGAAAGCAAGCTGCTAGCTGACTTCTGAGGAATGAATTTGATGTAATACTCGTATGTCTTGAGATACAGTATGGTGGAAGTGACAAACTGAACATGCTCTCTATGGGGCTGTTGTGACAACAGTTGCACAGTGCAGGTAAATGGACTTACTTGCTTGGTTAAGCTGTTTTATAAAGGATGTGCTTTGACTCTCTCTTCTCTTGATTTTTTGCAATGATTACTTCTCAGATCTCTTTGGGCTACAGCACTTGTTGCAAATCTCTCCCCTTGCATGAAATGTACTGTCCTTGGGATACTGCAGAGGTGGCAGTAGACTTGCCTTACATGTTACCTAATATATTGGGTCCCTGAGTCCCAGTATTGTTGTGGCTTGGGTCAGTTCTGCACACACTCAGATTTCCTTATGGGGCAGTGAAAACTGAGGAGGTCATGGAGTAATTAAATTGCTACAAATCAACTGAAGAGTTTAAAAAAAAAAAGAAAGACAGTTGTAATAAATGTAGTATTACTACTCTTGATGTATTACAGTTCCATTATCAGGAACCCAAAGGTCAGATTAGAAAGGCTGCAAAACTCAGTGAACGAATAATACCAACTTACTGGCCTACACAGTTGAATACTTCTCAAATCGCATATTCCCAAAAGTTCTTCATGTGTACTGCATGCATTTAGGTTTGTGGGAGAAGGTCTAATTCCAAGGCTGTGCTTTTTTGATTCAGTATAGGTAGTAAACTTCTATCACCATACCTGAACTAGAGAAGGAAGTATGATATTATCCTTTTTTTCCACTACCCAGCCCTCACAACTAAAAGGTTAAGAAGGTGAATGAAAATGTACTGTGTCTTCTTCAGATAATTGGTACCATTTCAGTGCTAACCCTTTCCCAGTGTAAGAATTGAAGTCATATATTGTCATAATGGAGCTGTCCCCTAATTTTGGATTTGCTCAGAAGAATTTTAGATTTACTGACAACACTTCCCATCCCTCCATTATTTTCCTCTAGTGCTCTTTTATTTTTGGTATAAGTGCTAGTGGGGTTTTGTGTTAAGATAATTTTGCCGGTGCTGCAGAATTTTCAGTTGTGTAGTGATAGTATTTCAGTAGTATCACTTTAGTTCACACCCCTATGCTCTGTGATGAGACTGAGTAACCTTCCAGGGATATGGGAAAGATGTGGCATCAGATGGTAACTATGAATATGCCAGCACTATTAACTACATAGTAATTCTGAGTATGGTAGAAGAACTATTTGCCTGGATATTGTAGTGAAGTGGTCATAACTAATGACTTTTTTTTTTTTTTATGCAGTTTCGATAGTCTTTGCTAGCTATTTGCTGAGAATATCTTTTCCTGACTGACAATAAAAATAGAAATTTAAAATCACCTGTAATTCTGTTGCTTTGGGGTTTTGGGGGTGGGAGGGCAATATCTTTTCAAAAGTGGGGAAGGAATCTCTCCAGATGCACTGAAATGTGAAATCTTCCTTCCACTCCATTTATAGAATCATGTTTCAATTTCTTTTATATTTCCTCTTCCTTTCCCTAAAATCTGAAACCAAGGCTTCAAATTAAGATCTGAATTTAGGGGAAATGTATAGATTTCCTACTATAACTGAAAGAGTTGGTATTAGAGGAAAAATTCAACCATCCTTTTTGCTCACAGTAAAGTCTTCCTCTTGCAGATGCTTCATGAGGTTTTCTTTTGACTTCATGGTCTGCAAAACTCACAATCCACAGAAAAGCCAAAATGAGCAGGTCTTTCGGTGGCAGAAAAATACCAATACGCTATCTACTTCAGAGAAAATGTGATTTTTTTTTTCTGAGAATGTTAATAGTAGCTGGTACCTACATCATTACCAAATAACATTTCAGATTTATTTTCCCAATAGTGGTTTAACTTCTCCGATTTTCTTCATTTCTGCGAATGAACCTGGTCCATATTTCAGAAACATTAAAAATTAAAGATTTGGTCCCAACCTGTTCATGACACTGGAGCTGTCCAACGTGTGTGCAAACTTTATTTACTATTCTTCTTACCAAATATATTGAATACATATTGCTTTTGAAAACTGAAGCAAGTTATTTATAATTGGAGCCATGGAAAATAGCAGAAATCCTTTAAAGTTCAAGATAATTGTAATGCTGAAAAAATTATCTTGAGTGTGTTGTTGTCACATATATCCCAGTACTAACAAAAGGTAGGTTGTTGTAGTCTATTTTATAGAGTCATATTCATTTGGGTTGGGAGGGAAGTGGCAGTTGAAGTGGAGAGAATTAAAACAAAACAAAAACAAAACAAAGAAACCCACAAAAAACTAAAACACTACCACCAAACGCCAACAGGACTGATTTAATTTGTCACCTTCTTAAATATTTAAGTGAAAGACTACAACCTATGTTTTATAAGGTAGCTCCTATTACAGAAGTCATGGCTTGAATTTCTACTGGATTTCTGTTCTGTTGTGGGTTAATTTGTTTGTTGGTTTTGTCTGGTTTAGTTTTGTATGTTTGTTTGTTTTCCCAAACTGATATGCTTGGCTGTCACAAATGCATTTTCCTGAAGTGGAACCCACAAAGAATTCCTTTTTTTCTCTTTTTTGCCTAGTGTAGTTAACATATTGAAGATTAACCATATTCTGTAATGTGGTGATACATAAAGAACTGTGTTTTAGAGAATGGGAGTGCAACTCAAGTGTGACAATTATAGTCATCAGATGTTGAATATACTACTATTTTATTTATGTGTTCAGGTATGCATTTCAAATTTTGATCTCAGTTCAGACATGTATTTTATTTAAGTGAGGGAAATACATTAATTTGTTTCTAGACCAGTGAAGGTGAAAAAATATTTCTCATTCATTGTTATAGTTACCTTTTCTATGACTTAGCGTAATAAATAGGATTATTGAAATTTATTTTTGTTGTGACTAAAATAAGGTTGTATTTATTTTAAAGAGGAGGAAGAATCTAGTATGCGATAATTTTCAGTTTTCATCCTTAACAGTTCATTAGACTTATACAAATCTTTTTTTTTTTTTAGATGAGAAATTATGAAGATTTAGCCACAACTTAACCATTTCAAACTTTAAATGCTTAAGGTTTGTGCTGCTTTGAACATTTGCTGGTGACATAATATACAGTGCCTGAGTGAAATGTGATTTATTTTTATATATTCCATTGCCAGAAGAAAAACACTGAAATGTGTAACTCAGTGAACCAGTTTTCTACCACGCATTAGTTACAGATGTAAATTAAATTTGATATAATATACCGGACAAGAAGATTAAATTAGGGAAACACTATATTCATTTTACTTAGTGTTAAAACCAAACAAAATATTTTGGAACATGCATTATGAAGTGTATTAAATATGCTGAGCAGGAAAACATGAAAATATTCAAAGTGCAAAAGACAACAGGGATTCCTTTTTCTGTTTTTCAGCAATTTATGTCATCTTCCATTATATACAAATTTTCACAAATCAATTTTTTTATGCTGCATATGCAGCTGTGTTTTCATAAGGTAAGATCTTTATTTGTAGAAGGAAATCCTATTGAAATATTTTACAGGCATCTCAGCTCGCCCTTTCTTTTGGTGTCTTAGATGGGAGGAATTTCTTCCACGCCTCTGTATATTCTTCCTGGATAATCTTGTTCAAGCTTTTAAATTATTTGTCTTTGAAGTGCAAGGTATGTTATGTAATGTGCACGTACACTCATTTCTATTGGGTAATTTTCTGACTCTCTGACTGAGACTGGAAGAAAGATTTTATGCAGGAGACCAATGCAGGCCTGAATACAGATCCTAGCCTAAGGATCGGCTACAGTGTACATGCATAGCTGAGCCCTCGTTACTATTCTGTTGCTTGTTTATAATAATAATTGTGATACCACATTAATTTTGATTTTACATCTGTTTGTTTTCGATATACTAATTGGCCACACCTGTCTAACTTTTCTACTACCTTATTTTTTTTTCATGTTCTCTCCTGAGAAAAGTTGCCACAGATGGTGCCCAGTAGACTGTATTAGCTATTTGAGCAACTTTTTCATATGCCCATTTCCAGCCATCATACATGTCTGTTTTCTCCATAATTCTTAAATAGGATGTTTAAGCATCCTATTTATCGGTGCTACAGGTTTGAATAAAGAGTACTCAGTGATACAAACAAATTGGTTACAAAAATTAATAAAATGAAACAATGTCTAGAAAACCAGGAGTTATGTGTAAAGAAGGGAAAATCTGTACAGTATAAAGAAATGTCACTAGTTTATAGTTTCCTTTTAGAAATGTCTTCTGTGATTCTGTTTTTCTCTAATTCCTCTTTTTGAGTATGAAACCTCAAACTTTATTTAAGCTATGACAGTATATCAAATTAGGTTTCAATTAATTAGAATTAGATAAATGACGATGCTTGAGATAAATACCACCAGGAATCCTTGCCTTTTCAATATATTAAAATATACCAGAAAACCTAATCAGCTGCAGCAGTTTCTGTGTATAGAGCTCAGACAATGGATGTTAACCCTGACCTAAAAATGCTCTGTAATTCTATCTGGGCTAAATGTAGCATCTTAATTTGCTAAGTTTTGCTTTTCTTTTAATTTAATTCTGACCTTTTTTTGGCCTTCATCTCTTTTCTTCACAGGTGGAACAACTGGAATAGCTAGAGGCTGATCAAATGCAAATATCACTAAATTGCTACATCAGCCTTTATTAGATATTTCAGTCTCTAATAGGGAATTCTGTCTTCAGTGCACAAACCATATAAAATGGAGAGATTACTGAGGTTTTTGCAATGATCTTATTTCTTTTCTTTGGGTGGGCTCAGTCAATTATATAATAGCATGTGTTATTAGGGGTCCCAACTGCACATTAGCCAAATCCTAACTTGCGCTTTTCTGCATCACTGACTGAGACCATTTGCCAAGGACAATATCAGTGCCAAAGGAATGATAAACAGGATTAACTGAGATCTGGTCTGTAACTTTACAATGAAACTTCATATGCTTCTATAAAAGTAGGTATGAAGTTTATCCAAGGACTGCAGGTCAAATAGAAGCAAGATATAAAAGGGTTGATATATAGGGCAAAAATTAGGCACTAAAACCCCAAAATTAAAATTCTGAAAATTTTGTGGTGGATAATGTTTAATCCTGGCAACATCCAAACACTGCAGGAGCCTTACTGTTTCTTTTTAAAATCTTGAGGTGTCTAGGTTTGGTTCCCAATATGTAGAGACTTTTGTCCCAGACAGGGATCATGGTGTCCTCCTCCTTACTCTTAAGTCACATCAAGGTCTAGAAGCTAGATATTTCCAGCCTAAATTCCCTTAAGGTGGTCAGAATGCATGTAACGCAAGCATATCTACAAAGTTTAGAAATAGCCTTCATCCAACAGTGAAGTAAGAACATTTTAATTTTAAATTACATGCCTCAGATATTAAAAGAAAGAAATTTAGTTAGTGGTTCATGATATTGGATTGGCAGAAAAAAATTATTTGATTTTGTTTAAAACCAATACAGTATTATACAGTATACAGTATGGCTTGTATTGAGAACTTCTATTGCAAAAATTCTGATTGTAATAATTACTAAAGAGAAAAAAAGGTAACATATTCAGTTATGCATTTTTATTGTGTTCTAACTAGAAAGCATACTTTGTGTTGATTCAGAAGTCCAAGGGACTTTGGAGGCAGAATGAAAAAGTATATTTTTGTCTAAAAATTTTTTTGAAGGATACCACTACAATATTAAAGTATTTAGAGTTTGAATATAAAAGACCTGAAAATTAAGCCCATTGAAACATTGAAGTAAGCACTAAGGGATGAAATAATTGACATGTTGTCATGGACATTCTTCATTTCCAAGATTAGAATATAATGATGCTCAAATATCCTCTTTTACTGAGGAAATTTTGACATCTACTTTTGAATGGCTGTTAGATTGTACATGCTCTCCAAAGAGTAAAGGTTTGGGTTGGACATACTTGATTTACCACCATGGAAATCTTCTTGAGCTTTTTTTGCAAATGCAGAACTTGTACTCCAATTTTTTACATCAGCTAAAATCTGTCAGTGTTAAAATCCACAGGTTTAAGTTTGCTGGATTAAGGATTTTGCATTAAAAATTAGTTTTGCTTCATTTTATGTTTTATTTCCAAGATTATAGAACTGAGCATCAAACGTTTCCTTTGACAGATGCTCACAGAGAATATTTCTCCTTTTTAAGATTCTAATAAATTTTAATTTGTGTAACCTATAAGTAATTATGTTAGTTGTCTATCCTTTTGTACTTGCTCTGGTATCAGGTCTTTCACTCTGGAAATGTGATTTTATAGTTTATGACTATATGACTAAAACCCCAAGAAGTAATATCATAAATT